AAACTTAGAGTTGAAAATCCAGCTAGCTACGATGACCTTGACTGGCTGAACTGAACCTGGCTTCTGGGATTTCCACTACAGGTACCTGAACTGTCCTTAAGGCATGCTCATTTTCTAGCAAAGCTGGTATTTCCTGATACTTCAGGAAAGCTGATTATGACTTTCTAGCAATGGACATAACTGTAGCATTGGCACAAAATTGTGTAATTGTTAGACTTTGGAGGAGAAGGGATGTAGTTTACATGCAGTGTGAGTCCCCAGTCTGACCTCAGTGCTAACTTCTCAGTAGTGCCAGCAGCTGAGTGTTTTGATTAAATACAGCCACTGTTAATTGTTCCAAACTGATACTTCTGTCATGTTCAAGGACAGAGCAGGGATGACCTGTTGTGTTTGCTCACCACAGGAAGAAGCTAAGTGTCAGGGTTTGCAGCTGCTGGATCTTTAATGCAGCAAATGAGAGGGCTGAACTTTGATGAATCCCCAGCTAGAGGAGGCTGATGAGTTTGGGCAGACCTAAGTTGAGGGCATTATGTAGATGTGAGATATTGAAGTCATGATGATGTAGCAGATGGTGGGTGAGACTGCAGAGGGCGAGTTTGCTTCCTCTTGACTTCCCTGTGACAAGATCTCTCACTTTATGGATCTCTCACTTTATGGTATGAGGACTCATTTCCTCAAATGTTACTTTATGTGAGACACCCAAGGAGTAAGGAAAGCCTAACTCTCCATCTTTTCACATGTTCCTTAAATGAAATTACTCCAAAAAAGTGGTAAATAGGCGGTTGATTCTGTGCGAGGCCAAATCAGTATTCATCAATACCAAAAGATAAGGCTTTTAATAGAAAACACAAAGAAATTCTTTAAAATCTGAAGGGTAGTCATAGTTGCTTAAATTAGATTTTTCTAATTCTTCTTCTTTTCCCACATATGATCAGCTATTATATATATATATATATATATATATATATATATATACACACACACATTTATTTATGCTTACAGAACTGGGTTAGAGGTCAGATGTGTGGTGGGTGAGAGGATTCACTAGAGATAGAGTGGGGAGCAGAACAGGCAGATTGACAAAGTACACTGCTGAGCTGAGGATAGCAGCAGGTGGGTTAGAAGAGGTCTGCCAAACCATGTGGGTCAGCTCCTTGGTGAGGATCGAACTGGTGCTGCAGTGGCTTTGGAGTGCCTCATAATACAGTGCTTTAACCTGTTGCATCACCAGACAGAGCCCATGATCAGCTTTCTTTTATATAAAACCTTTCTTTTGAATTAGTTATGTTTGCTATAGACTCTCTTATTGGAGATAAATGATGTAGAGATGCTATTTACCTCTAAGGGAATTTTTCTCCTGTCAAAACTAAAATGTTCCTTCATTGCTCTCATTGAGTGAAACACCATTTTTTTTTTATTTTACACTTTATGAGTTTACTAATAGTCATAAAAATTGCGAAGTAAATTCTGAGTGCTGTTTCTTGTTCTATTACCCTCTTAAAACACTTCTTTTCCACTTCAATAAAAAATATTCTGACAGAATTTGATGTTAGTTTCTCTTGTCTAAGTTGTTTATGGTAGATATCAGTTGATCTTATTTGTCTAGCAGCCCTTCCTCTCTTAATCACATGCCAATTTCTTGTACGGAACTTTTTGACCCTCTACCTCGTGTGGCTGCAAATAATATGCCCCATCATTACTGGGGTGGGCCTGGTAGTGGACAAGAGACACAAGAGAATGGCATTTATGAGGACTAATGAATGTTGGACTTTCTCCATTTGTGATTAATTATAGACACAAGGATTCCATGAATTTGTTAATGTTGGAGACCACCTTTGCTGTTGTATGAAGATTAAGAATATAACCAAAAGAAGAAACAGAACTGAGAGAGAATGAGAGAAAGAGATTTATGAAAGGAAGTTGTGACTTCTAGTTAAAAATTCTGGTGCTGCTAATGGTATTTATAGATGGTGAGATTGTATAATGGACAATGAAGGCTTCTCCATGGCCTAACATCATACCATGTTGGTAATGAGGCACCATTACAAGTTAGAAGGTCTTGGGAATAAATTTGTTTTAGAAAACTAAAGAACAGTTCAGGAGTCCCTTATTAAATGATTATATTGTGTGAGAATACAACTTCTACTTAAATGAAATACTTGTTCACAAAGTGACTACTAGAATTCAGAGATAAATATTTCCTTCTGTTCCCTTGGCATTTCACAAGGGAATGATATCCAAACCATGGCATAATTATAGCAACATTTTGCTTATAACACATCTTGCTTCTAAGTAGTCTGGTTACTTAGTAATATGGCTTTGTCTGGTTTTTGTAAATTTGGATATGAAAATTTTGTAGAATTTCAGACAGTGTTAGCTTTCAAAAGACCAAATCATGAAAGAGAGTAGGCAGGACTATAATTCAAAAGGACATCAGGAGGGTCAGCTAGCTCATTCATTGTATTTATCCATGAATGTTTTAGGCTCTAATGAATATTACTTAATCTCTTACATTGTCATGTGTGCCCTTAATAAATGGCCCTTCCTGTTATAATCTGGCTGAATGGGTTATTTTCCATGGTCTTATAGTGTGAAAAACTGGAAGTTTACTCTATCCCCATTCCTTCTCCATTTTTTAATAAAACGACAGTAATATAAGTCAGTGACAGGAATATTGCTTTGATATTGTGTGAGTTTAATGAATATATATTACAGGGAGGCAGATCTCATGTTGTTATCAGGAAAACTGACTAGAATTGTGGAGGGTTCAAATAGTAGCTATCTACAGCACTGTAGGATACCTGTCAAGGATGTTGTAGAAGGATTTTTATAGTGGTGTGAGTTTTGAGCAAAACAATTAGCCCTGAGAGATTATATTCTACTAGAGGTTATAGCAATACTTTTATATTTTACAACTATTGTATGCTATAGACACTGTTGGGCATTTTACAGATACTATGTTCTATAGCTATTGCCCCCCCACTGTACCTTAGAAACCTTTAGTTCTTGATTTTTTGGTGTGTGCTATCTTTTTATTCTAGTAGAATAAAAACTCATTCTTAAGAGAATAGGCACTGTTGTATACAATAATATTTCTTATTGTTGTTGCAAAGGTGGGAGGATAGAGCAAATTCAACTTAAAAGTTGTCTGGCCAGTCTGCTGTGTATCCTGCTGACACATTTTCGAGAATCTTGAAACTTTGTTCTTTGAATCACTGGTACAAACAAAACATTGGAGTGGTTACTGCATGACTGCTAGATTGTTCCCACACAAGGGAAATGGAGAAAAGTAGAAACCAAGAAAAGAAGGAGCAATGTCTGATCTTTAATCACCTCCTCTATTCCACTAGGTCAGGAATAACTCCCTTACATGCTAAAACTGTTCATATCAACATCGTGCTGGTGGTGGTGATACAAAAATTTAATTATGCAAGTGATATAGCAAATGCCTTTTTAAAAATTATATTAATTCACTTTATTGCTCATATTATTTTGGTGTCTAACAGTTGTCTCTGTTAATGTCAGAGAAATTACTACAGTGTCGGTGTTTCACTGACATGAAGTGGTAGAATGTTTCTGGTTAGACATTGAAAATATTTGTTATAATAACTTTTTGGGTCATTGAAAGAAATGAGAAAAGAGTAATGTTCTGGTTCCCTAAGTGTCATGTCGTCTACATTAGAGGAGTTTTATTTTGCCTGCACCATCATTACTATTAGCCAGTGTTTCACCAATTTTTATTATAGCTATTTGGAAGCAGTCATTGATGTGTCTACTGTTTTCTGGGTTTTAAATAATTCCAACTCAGGGAGTCTGAAATCACTAAAGTTTTAGATAGGATGTGCCAATTTGATAATGAAAGTGATTTTGAAGCACAGGGAACCTGCGGGGGAATTCATCTTTATTGAATAATGTGGAGAGTCAGAGTTCTTCATGCAAGTGTAAAGAAAACGCAGGGCCCTAAAGAAGAAGCAGTGGCTTTTGGGAATATCAGTAGGGAGGCTATTTTTAATTTATGAACTAATATATACAGATTCTTCCTGAGAATCAAACCTGTACTCAGAAAGTTGGAGAAGTTAATTTCGATTTGTACACTCTTAGTGCTAAATGGAACCTTACAGGTTAGCTGGCCTCACATGTTATGTTGAAGTTAGAAAATTCTAGAGACTAATTAGGAAGCCTAAAGTCATCTAGTTACCATGTTTGAACAAATTTGACTTTGAGTTTAGTGTTCTTTCTTCTTCATCCTTATATTTATTCCCAAACCTCAGCATTCCTCAGTATTTAACCCCTGCCCCCTGTAAAAATCATAACAGGATTATAACAGCATTTTCTCAGCTCTCCACCATCTTAAGATTTGTATAACCTGGGGAAATAACCTTTCTGAACCTCAACTTTTTTATCTGTAAGATGTGATTATAATGGTATTTTCTCCAATAGGGTTTTAAAAAGTGAATTAGATAACCCATGTAAAGCATTTAAAGCATTATTATTAATCTCAGTTCTTTTCCTTTAAATAATGAGCATTTACTTATATATACATTGATCTTGCTTAAAAGAGATTTTGCTTTTTGGGGATTCAAAGAGGTACTAATTATTTTTTTGATGTTGTCATTTTGAGATTTCTATATTTTATCTGCACAATCAATTGGGAATTCGAAACTACACATCCAGAGGGGTTGGGAAACTCATCTAATAATTTCACTTGAATATATTTTACTCTTGATTCACTTGAAGCAAAATCCAGGAACATTAGAGATTATGCAGTTTCAGCTCCATAATCACAATAGTTTCTATTTTTCATGTTTTTTAAGTTAGAGCAGGCAGAGTTTTCCACAGTATTTCTCAAATATTCTTAGCATATTTGTGTATTTTTAACATGTAGTGAAAAAGGGACTTATAATATCTTTTAATATTAATACACTGAATCACAGGTTTATGGACTGCCTGGGTTTATCAGTTTAGAATATAAGAGGCATTCAAACCTTGTGGATTTAATGGATTTTTAAAAATTTTAATTACACATTTGAAGTTCTAATTACACCCTAGGGATTTATTTGTTTATGAAAAGTCAAACTATGAATTACAATATCACAGAATACTTCCACTTAATCAGATTAGTTTCACCATTCATTCTACAAGTATGATTTGTAAAATTTCGCAATGCTTAGAAAACTTTAATCCTACATTACAAAAAGATACGTAAATATAGATGAAAAAGATACATGTTTGCCTTCTTTTTTTGATACTGATACTAAATAAAAGGTGGAATGTTTTTGTTTAAAACAATCCCTCATCACCCACCCCTCCCAACACAATAATGGCCATGTAAGCTTAGGCTTCCTTTAAATTGGATATTCTTTGTCAGTGTGTATTAGGAAAAAAGATCTACTCTGTGTATAAAATCTAGCAACAAAAACAAAGGGAACTGTAAATAGAAAAATAAAACATGTAGAGGAGATATGTACTCTGTGCACATAGCTTTAAAACCCTGATAGGGAATGCTTATCAGAGAGACTACATACTTGGGGAAAACATAAATTCCCAAGAGCAATATTCTAACATGTCAACTTATCACAATAGATTTACTCATTGAAATCAGTCCATTACTCTCAACCAGCAAGTAGTATCTTAATTTTACCATCTTAGTAGTTCAGTTGAAATGGAATACAGACTTTCACACATTAATTCAGTAACAAACTTTTCTGCATTGTTATGGAACATTTACTCAACATTCAATCAGTTCATGGAAAAGAAACTCCTTATAAATGTCATCTCCTCACACAGTAGCAGGGTCTTGAATGGAAGAGGGCTCCATTAATTCTGTTATTTAAATCACAGGAAGAGATTATAGAATTAGTTAACAAAAACATCTTTTTTTTTTTTTTTGAAAATCAGTTAGAAAATTTTAAATTATAAATTAAAGTAATGAAAGAAAAATAGCTGGCTGGATTCCCCCCCCGTCTTTACAGTGATATGGTAGAAATACAAGAAAAATGTATAACTTCTTTAGTTAGGAAACCTAAATAAATCCCTTCACTTGCTACAGGGCTCAATTTTGAATAAGAAAAGGAAAAATATTTTTGGCTGCAGCTTTAGTAAACAATGAATGATGAAAAATATTGCAGGAATATTTTCACAAGATCTGACAACTAAGAACCTGCACCTGATTATAATGATATTGTCTACACCATTCCACAAAGCTTGGCAAATGAGAAACTGAGCCCTATTTTGGCAGAAGGAGAGAAGTACTAGTTCCAGCATCAAAACAAGATTATGGAAACAACCAAGTAACACAAAAGAGTTATTTCTTCTCCGAATAACAGACATATTTGCATAAAGACAGCTTTTGCATTATTGCTCTACATATAAGAATATAGTAAGGAACTCATAACAGACTGCACATTACAAACTTAAGGTTCTTTGGTGAGGAATGAAAGAAAACAGTATTTGAGCTTTAAAGAAAATTATCTCATCCACTTTTGCTTTTATCTATTGATCCGCTGGATCCTCTCACAGAGCAGGGAAAGGTACTGTGTGAGTTTCACCATGGCCACGATCACCACACCTCCAGCCATCATACATGTTGGCCAGAAAAGTGAATGGAACAACACGTTGGAACTGTAGAGTTTGGTCAGGATGACACTCCTCTGGTTTCCTTCCGGATCAGAATAGCAGGAAAAGTGTTGGTACTTCCTGAAGTTTTCCATGACAACATTCACCAGAGACAAGGATTCTTCAAAGTTTTTGCCACACTTAGGGATATAGGAGCACTGTGGAAAATGAGATAAATGGTCATCAGAGATATTCTCTGTGTATATGTCAGGTACTGGGTGTAGGTATTGATGCAACCTAGTGATACTTGAAATAGCGATGATGGCTATTCATTTCATTGTCAAACCAGTGCCTCCAGAAACTCTCACACTCACACATTCATTATAACAATGCATTCAAGTACCTGGACAAGAGGTACCTTACTAGTTCACCACAGATTATTTAATTATTGATTAAAATCTGATTATAAATGGATTATTTTTGTCATAATTAAGCATGTAGGTTTTAATTATTTCCTATTGAATATCTTTTTTCATATTATGACACTGTCACAATCAATGTCAACCTTTCCGACTTTTGTCTGTCCACAATTGCTCACATAATACCGAAAGTTAACATTTCTTTCAGGAAAAATAGTTTACTCTTTTCTCGTTGCCTTGGCTTAACTTACTGAACCAAGTCACCTTGATCACTCTGCTTCTCTGGTCAAGAAAATAACTATACCCCTGTAAGTTGCTGAAAAACAGAATCTGGGAAAGTTTAAAGGTATTGGATAGAGAGATCTGATAAATGGTTCATGCTCAGTTAGCATGCTAAAATAACTTTCCATAAACTGAAAAAATGTAACAGAATTAAATCAGTTTACTCTTCAACAGGCAGGTATCTGAGAATTTACATCTTTCCTTTGATCTTTTTATCTCTCTTCAACATGTCTCTCCTTCCTTTCTTTGCATACACTTACATCACTAGGTTTCTTTTCTTTGTATCTTTTCCCCTTCCCTTCCCTGTCCTCCACCCCCATACCTCAGGCTTGCTTTGTATTTTTCCCTCTGCTTCCTCTTCCTGTCCTCCTTTATCGTTCTCTTCTGTCTTCTCTGTATACAGATGGAATGAAAGAACTTCTTTGTAGCTTTTATTTTTGGTATTTGGATATACTTTTGAATGTTTTTCTAACTTAAAAAGCAGCCTCTGAGGAGATAAAATCTCTCCAATCCTCTTTCCTTAATTTGTAAGTAGATAACAAGTGATTTAAGTCAATTTCCGGGAGGTGTCTGAGTCCTTGATCACTTCATTCTTTTCTCTAAGGCCAGTTCTCTTAATGAGAAAAACAAATATCCCTGCATTTTCTCTTACACACTAACAAATAATTACTCTAACTTATTTATCTGAGTTGAATTAGGTTGTGACAAGATCTTCTATATAGTATTTAAGTGTGAATTTAAAAACTATGCCTCTGCTTTAAAATGCCATGATTTTTTTCTTGAAAGATTAACCAAATACATTGATTTTATGAAAAACCCCACACATTTCATGCTAATATCAGTTTATAAGTGGTGATTATAAATCTTCACTTCCACCACTGTACAATGTGTTTGTGTTGTGCAGTGTACAACTCACACAACTGTATACCTCTGAGACTCAGCAGAAGTGAGTTGTTGGTGAACTCTGAATACACTGACAGGAGTTTTGGGGTAGGAGCTTGGAATTCCAGGGCAGTTTATACCTGTGGATTTTGCAGAAAGGAAATACAGAAGAAATGGAATCAGTTTTGCTTATGGCATATATTTGGATTATTCTTTCTCCAGGTACTAGTGGGCATATGGGTGTCTTGCTTTGTTGGTTGTGTTATAGACATTGGATTATTTGACTATATGTAATTGGATAATTTTTCACTAGTTGAGAACAAAAGATGAATCTAGTGGCACTTATTATAAAACTAAGGTTATGTTTTCACAGCAAGGACTGCTGGATATCTTGAGATTTAATTAGCTGAGAATAAATGTGAGTGCATTCACAAATGCAAGTACATGAGAGCTGGTACTAGCTCAATAACATTAAGAGTCTGAAAGTATCTCCAAGAAAGCAGATTACTTTCAATGAGTTGTGATTTAGTATGAAAATTGGCTATGACTAACATGAAACAATTTTCTATCAGTTGGATGCTTTCTGGATCAAAAGGGTTTAATGCAGTATATGAGGATACCTTTATTTTTCCCTTCTTCAAAGCTGCCCAGATCATGTCTTCAGAATTTTTAAAAATGTGTTTTGAAGCAAAACATTGAAAAGCAAAATCACAGACAAGTCACTTGTGGTTGAATTCAGACAGAACCAATTTAGATTACGATGCATTAGGCTTCTGCATAGTTTGTGCCAAGATAGTTTATAGTAGTACTTTCAGTAGCTAACAGTACTAAGTTATTGAAATGAACTCAATAAAAATGGCATTCCATTAAAGTGGAGTTTTTTCTTTTTGTATGCTCCTGTGAATTGATTGGGTTTAAAAAAATACTTTTTTGAAGAAACATTAGTCAGCCAAATGACAATAATTCTGTCAGTAGGTAAGATTCTTCCAAATAAAATGAGATATAAATTGCTTTTGAGACTGTCTAGCAAGTTTGTAATACAAGAGTTGTGTATTAATGTTTTTAGCCATTAGGATTTTAAATGAACCTTTTGGACTAGCTGGATGAGGCATGTTCCACACATGCTTGCACTTGGGTCCTCAGGTTCAGCGACACGTGGAAGTGCAATTCCACATTGCTGGTGGAGAATACTCTGCACTTGTGTTTCAAGTGTATCCTAGTCTTGCTGCTACTCTACCTCGTAATGCATGTAAACTGACTTCCACTGGATTGTTGCTAATCCCTGAAATTCTAACATGTGCTATTCATTTATTTTTACTAATGGGTCTTTCGGTGATAATGAACATAAAAGGTAGTTAAATAAGTCCCTGGTTTGTGTTCAGATCAGTTACTGTATTATTGTGTTTCTGTAGGCAGGTTACTTGACCTCTCAGAATGTATTTGTTTTTATATGATAGAATTCATAGTGTCTTCTTGATAGGGTTTATATGAGGATTAAATAACATGTAAGCATGTAAGCATAAGACCTAAATAAATTTTCTATTAGAAATAAAACAAAACTAGCAGGCATCATAAATAAGACATTCTGTGAGGAAGGGTGAGGAAAAGGGATCAAAATGGGAAAGAATAGCACAAGGGACTATGGTGATGCTTCACAGGTGAACTGATGGTGAGAATTTTTTTTTATAATAGTTTATTTTTACATCATTTTGTACATTTTTTTCATCTCAATTGTAATCCCTGTGGGTTTCCCAGGTAGTGGGAATTTTATGGGGAATACACAATGATGTTAAAGACATAAAAATTTGAAAAAAAATTATAAAAAGCTGAGTAATTAATGTAGGACTTTGTAATGAATGGGAAAAGAAAATTAACAAAATTAAACCTAATCATAAACAAAAAAGATTTCTATTAGTGTCACATTTGTTTACATCATGTTTTCTAATATCTTTAACCAAATACTATACCCTAAATTATGAAGGCTTTAAGGAAGGCAAAATTACTGGTAAAATGATTTTCCTGGGTGTAGTCCTATTTAATGTCTCTTGTCTCACATTCCTTGTATTTTTGTATTAGGAGGTTGGACATATTACTGAGTCCTATGTTAGGATTCTATATTGCTGTTCCTGTGCCTCAAACTACAGCCATGACCATTTCTTGAGGTTAGCATGAATTTGGGGATACATATTTAGTGACATGATTCATCACAGGTGTGCAGGATACATGTAGGTGATTGGATTAGAATGTGTAGAACACATTTCAACAAAGAGAAATTTTACTAAGTGATCTACACTGTGATGTAGATTGAAATATAAAAATTAATAAATAATTTTTCTGTTAGAAATAAAATTAGATCTCTTAGATCTAAAATTTAGACCATTACTTTCCTAGTAGGAAACAAGGGGTAGAGTGATTTAACTTTTAGACTTCATGATATATACCACAAAGGAACATCTGAGGCATTTTATCTGTATAAAAAATTTAAATGCTAATGGAAATTGATAACTTTTTTCTCTTTACTAAAGCTATAGGTCATTCCTCTTTTTGTGCCTTTTCATCTGAATATATAAACCTAGTAAAGTTATGAGACAGGGATTCAGTGAAAAATTTAGACCCACCTCTCTTCTTAGTCCTGAATTAACAAACAGCTACTTTCTTAAATCCCTTAATTTCCCTTTAATATTGAAAACCACAGAGACGTCCCCATGAGCATAAACTTGTCTCTCTTAGCTGAAGAAAGCCTAGGTCCTGGGGATTTCTCCAACTATTCTTTCCTTTATATGGCATCCAAGTACTAACAACTATATCTTATTCTAAGTCTTTGGAAAATGATTGGGAATTTTTTTCATAGTCTCCAGAATTCTTTACACCCTTAGAGCTATTTTTATTTTCATGGTGGTCAAAAATTTTGAAATACTACCTGTTAGTCTTTGCTTAAACATGGTCCACTAGACATGTTAAAAATAAAAAGTGGGCTTTAGCTTCTCAGTGCTGTGATTTAACCCGCTGCGCCACCAGGGAGGGCCTACTTCCATATCCTTTTATAGTTATATTTATTGAAGTACAACAAGATGGGCATACATATTGTCAAATAGCATAAAACTGGTTTTAAGATACCATAATCTTTCAAATTAACTTCATATTGCTTATAAAAATATATAAATTGGGACTTCCGGAAGATGGCGGCAGAGTAAAGACGCCGAGATCACCGCGTCCAAGCCGGCATAGGAATTAAGGACTGAAAACAGACTATAGACTCACTTACTACAAGTTTTAACCCAAACGAAAACACCC